GAAGAGGAAATAGCCTAACCACTAATTTGGAAGCCTAAACCTTGATTTTGTACCCAAAGGAGAAGGGAGAGAATCATTATTCAAATTAGAATGACCTTCTATGAAATCAAAAGAGTGATTTAGGTAATGTGGAATTTTACAAAAATTTTCAAAAAGTCTTAAATCTTTTAAAAAAGATTTGGTAAAATACATTAGAGAAATAATTGCTTTGTCATCCTGATTAATTCTGACAAATTTAAATTATGAGAAAAAGTTTTCAGGTTCAAAACTCAGTATTGGATTTTTTTGTAATTTGTGTCTCTCTGTTTTGAATGCTCTTACACGATTAAATTTTAAGTTAGTATGATTTTTAATCTCTCGGCTTTGAAAGAAATTAGTAGAAGAAAAAGTGGCTTTGATTATTTTGTTGTTTAACATTAAACATTTAAACATTTGATAAATTCGTTGGTCTCTTTCATATCTTATCTCTTGTTTTATCTGTTTGAATTGATTATTTATTATCTCTTCATTAATAGCAAACTTTTTATTAATTTGTTCAATCACCAATTATAATTATTGGACTGTTTCGACAATCCAATGGGTCGTGTCTGTTAAAATTGTTTTAAGTAGTTAATCATTTATTGTTTTTGCTTAATGATGAAGTTATGTCAAAGATTAAATGATTATTTAGATTTTCATTGAAAAATCAGCCATTAATAAAATATTAAATCAATTATATGGGTCTTATTAATCATTTTTTTAAAGAAAAAAAATCCTTAACTGGTCATTTGATTACAATTAAATAGCCTGATAAGCATAGCTAATGAACTTATGAAGCTCTTTCATAAAGCTACATCAATAAAAGTTACTGCTGTTATTACTATTGATCAATTTTTTAAAGCAAAAAATGTGAAAATCCCTTTAACTTTTTAGCGAAATAAGTACCTAATCTATAATCTATTGTGCATTTTAAAGTATTAGCTAATATTTTTTTTATCCTAATTGAAATACAAAATTTTATTGTTTAAAAAATAAAATAAATGAATTTAATTCAAGGATGAATCTACTTGTTAATATTATTATTACATTAATTTATAAGCATCAAAAACAATTAATTGTATTTTTTTCGTATAAAATCATTTCATCCAAATACAACAATTTTAGATGCTTATCAATCTCAATAAAAACATAATCCTCATCAAAAATTTTGCTGGAAGGCAGAATTATCGGTAAATATATTAACCCTAAATTTTGAAATTACTTTGATTGATTCTTGAAAAGAGTTGGAATTATTGAAGCTATTGCACAAAATTTTAATTAATTATTTTTTATGATTTTTAATTATTATTCTAAACTCAAGTAATTATTATAATAAGACAATCATGACTTGGACTTGGCAACAAATGATTAATTTATTCGAATAATTCCTAGTGAAAAGAAATGGGAAGATGATTAATGGAAGGAGTATGTACAAAATGTTGACTTCCAGTATATGGATAGACATGAAGTTTTAAGTTAATTAAAAAAGAATTTTGATCCATCTTTAAGATCAATTATTTATCCTTGGATTGCAAATAAAACCGTTCCTCCTCCAATAGATTATAAGTTGTTTGCTTAAAATCCATGTGCTTAGGATAACATAATCTTTAGGGATATTGAAAGAACTCACTCTCACCTATAATTTTATAAAAGTAAAAGAAAATCAAGCAAAAAGCATGTTTAAAGAGCTTCTTAATAATTGGATAGTATAAAATCGATCATAGATGAAAAAATTTTAAATGACTTCTTTTCTTTAAATTAACGAAGATTATTTTATTTGTTGAGAGCATATGCTAACTAAGACCCAAGTATTGGATATGTTTAAGGAATGAATTATATTATGGGACTTTTACTCTTTTTATTGGATGATAGCAACAGTTTATTTTCTGGGGAAATGAAAGCCTATCAAATGTTTTTATTTATAAATATCAAAATGAATTGGTCATAAACATACAATAAATCTATGAAAAAGTTAAAATCGATGGTTTAACATCTATAATTTTTATTGCAACAGAATCTTCCAGATATATATCAAATAATTTGCAATTTAGATTAACCATTTATATTTTTTATGGATCAATACTTTTTTGGATTAATGAGTTACAAAACTCCAATTGAATTTTCGGCTAAAATTTTAGATATCTTCATAATTTAAGGAGAATAAATTATATTTGATGTTTTGCTTAGAGTTTTCACTTTAAATAGAAATGAAATCAAATAATTATCTGATAAAGATGAACAAACTCAATTTATTAAGGACATACTTCCAATGAGTATAGAAAAATTTGGAATCTAAGCCTTAATTCCGAATTCTGAAATAATAATATGAAAACTTCATATATTTAATTTGATCTCAGTATTTATAACGAATTTCTCCAATTTAGTTTTGTAGTCTAGCTTTTAGAATCATTATAAGCAATTATATGCGTATTTATGCATGTGTTATCTTGAAATTTATAATAAAATGCTTTTTTGGTTCAAAAATTACTGAATTCTAAGTTGAATAATTTTTACAAACTTTTTAATTTACTTTACAATTAAGAATTGATTAATAAAATTTTAAGATATTACATTTATACTTTTTTATCTTTACATCATTTGGAAATTGATTTCAATCTTTGTTCACCATAAAAAAAGTTCCATAAGATTCTTTTCAAAAAAGGCTTTAACGATATGATTTCTCTCTTTTTTTCTTTCTTTCTTTCTTTCTTTCTTTCCTTCTAGATCTCTAAATAATGCAGATTATGATTAATTGGGTACGTATTTCCTTTATTAAAAAGAAAAATTGAATCTATAAAATAAATTAATATTTTTATGTAATAAAACCTTATGAAAAATGCAAATCTCTAAACAATCATAAGTTAGTGGAAGTTATCTCTAGCGATTAACCTAAAAAAAAAAAATAAGATATTAAAAAATATCAATAATAATTTTTATAGATATTGAATTTTAAAAAGAGGTTCATTATAGTCATCTATTTCATCAGCCTTGCTTATTTATTCTTATTAATTATAATCGAATGAATAGTTATTTTTATTTTATATCATCTGTTCATTCTTTACATTTGTAAAAGCAATTGAGGATTTTTTACTTTAACAACATTATTAATCTAAAAAATAATCACTAAAAATATCATTACATCCTTTAATTTATTTTCCGTCTGTTGTAGCTTTTGTTAGATTTTTTAATATTTCTTTGTAATAGTCATACGAATTGCTTCTTCAGGCAAAGAGAAAATTAGAATTGAATTAATTCGACATTTTTGTATTCAGTTTTTTATATTATTTCAATAACAGCATTGCCCTCTTGAGTAATTCTTAACACAGCTCTATATTTATTGGGGTCTTTATGAGCTTTGTCGAGACACTTTATACAAATGGCAGGATAATCGATAAAAGATGCAGTTAGTTGCTATTCATCTTTGATTTTTTAAAATGTTTTTCATTTATGCTAATTTTATTCTATAAGTTTACTCATGAATAAAATGGAAAAATAGATCATTTTCACAACTTAATTCATTTTTCATTCTCTCAAGCCTCTAGTCATTTCCGAAAATTAATACTCTCACATTAAGAGTTTCTTGTCTTTATTATTAATCTCCATCTTCCACTAAGATTTAACTCACTAATTCTTATTCATAAATGAGAGTGTAACCCCCTGAGTCTGTTTCCTCTTAGGTTTCTTAATAATTTAGAATTTCTTTAGAGGGCGTATTTTTTAACATTTATTTGAATTTATTTATAATTAAGGATAAGGATTAAGTTAACAATACTACACTTATTTTTGACAGAATTAAATTTATATCATTTTTTTCCATCTAATCTTGAATTATTACGTCTGTTCAATTGATGAATCTATTAATAGGATTTATTCACTTAATACTCTTGAATGCTATTTATAAATAAGGGTAAAAAAGTTCATTGAGTAATTTCATTTTTACCTTTCTCTTCTTGTATTTTTTTTGATCTTTCACTTTTCTAAATTATCAATAATTTAAACTGTTCAATATCTCAATTCTTTACAAATATAATATTGTTTTTAGATTTTACCAAATTCTAACTTGTAACCTTATAACAAGATTTCATAAGATTTGTTTTTATTATTTAGCTCCATTCAAAATAATTTAACTTCCAAGACTTTAAAAAAATATTGAATTTGATATCTCTATATTATATAATCAAATTTAAAGATTGAATTGATTTTCTTGGAACCAGTTTCTTAATCAGCAATTTCCTTTGTCATTTATTAATGAAAATTATTCGAAAAGCTATATTGGCTATCTATTCAAATTGATTTTCCAACTCTTTTTTTAATATAGTATTAATAATAACAATATTTCAAATTCTATTATTTCTCATGAAAGCTGAAACAATTTTAGGTGCTAATATAGGTGAGATCAGATATATTACTAATTGTGGGACAAAAATTAAACTACACCCATAGGAATACTTTGCACATGTACATTCTTGCCAAATATGCCGAGAAAGTTCTCCATTTTTACGCTAATTAAAGTAACTTAAGGATATTGAAGAGTATCCTTATTTTGATTTACTTGGACTAAAGTCTATGTCAGAGATCATAATTGATGAAATAAATTAAAACAACTTAAATTAAGAATTCTACAGTGATGAGTATGAAGAGTTTTTATTACACGTTGCTCCTTTTATTTGCTCTGACTGCAATTCAAACTAAGTTCCCTAAAATTAAGTAGATATCAAGCGCCATCTTAAGACTTGCAAAGACTTTCGAGAAAATTCGCCTTTTTAACAAGAATTATAACAAATAAATCTCAGCCTTTATTGGGATATACACAAAAAAGCATTTATACTAGATATTTTGTATATTATTAATTGGGTTACAATAATCATCATAAAAAAGCTTGTATATATTGAATTAATAGTAAATAGCTCAGAGAATCTGACAGAAAGAATCATTAGAATTAATTATGTAGAGGATATAAATGTGGGAAATGTGAATAATTTAAAGGTAAAAATTTTTTTTTTTCTAGATAACCTTATAAAACATGATGTTTGTAATTCTTCAGCTTGTACGAATTGCTACGAAACCCATATAAGAAAACAAGTGGATGAAAACTGCCTTTAAATTAAATGTTTAAATTGCTAAAATAAACTTTCTACATAATTGATTTAAGTATCTTATTTATTATTTTAAGAAAATACTTGAGAATAAATCACATAACAAAATATCATTTAATTGAAACCTCTAGAATAAATTTCTTGATTAAGATAATATTTTTTATAACAATATACCAACAAGAATTGCTATAAGCAATATTTTTTTTTTAATTTATTCTTCAAAATTTGCAAATTATTACAATTGTTACTAATAAAAAGACACAATTTTTTTCATCTCGATGCGAATATTGATTTGGACATCATACACTTATTTTTAAATTATGCTTTATTCAACATTTTAGACATAATTGTTAGAGAAAGAAGAAGAAAATGTTTTGAAATTTATTTCAGCAAAGATAGTTGATTTTGTTTTGGTCTAAAGAATAATATATGAAAAAAAAAATTATCAAAAAAATTCTTAACTCTGATAACAAAAATTATTAATTATAAAATCACTTTAAGATATGGAGCTAAATAATAAGTATGATAATAAGAAAGCAGTCCGGTTTAAAACCAGGAAAAATGAATTATAAGATGTATTAAATCAAAATTTGAAATTAGTTTTGATATGGCTATGAATTTAATAGATAAAGTAGTGTGTTTTAGAAAACTTCCTTAAATACTTTTTGGATTTAAATTACTCATCAAGATTATCTTCCAAAAATCAATAAGAATTTAACATTAAAACAGAACTTGCTTAAATATTAACTGAGGAAAGATTTGCTCAATTTCTGATTAGTTTTTCATCTCATTATTATAATGAAACTGTATCAAACTGTTTATTGTATTTGTTTTAAGTATTGCAATCCTATTAAAACACATTAAATAAAATAAATTTAAAATATTTACTTTTAGTATTCAACCCAATCATCTCAATTTGATTTTTGATCCAAAATCCAGAATCATTAACATAGTTTGAACGATTTTCTGACATCTATAATATTTAGTATTAATATCATGCTTTTTTTTTGTAACTGGTTAATTTTATATTGATTATTTTTTATTAATTTCCATAATCTTTTTCTCTAACTTTGGATTTTGTTTATTTAACAAGCCAATATTTTGCCTATGCTTAATTATTTTGAATCTTATATACTCATTTCCTACATTTTAATTGATTACAAAATATTGGCTTTTCAAATTATTAAATCAACAAATTACATTCTTTCCTCATTCATTATATCTATTTTTGAATTAATCAAATTTAGGATCTAATTTTACTTATAACATAGAATTATTTTTATTCATATGACTTTTTATCAGTAATGCATTTAAATTTACTCAAGTGTCATTTAATGAGAGTTTTTTCAAATGTTAATTTTCTGCAATTAATTAAAATTTCAATAGTGACCTTGATTTCTATTTGATAAAGCTAAAATAATGTTTTGATCAAAATATTAGGTTTCATTATTTCTACTCTCATTCTTAATTCATTTGTATAAGAATGATAAAATTATCTCCTTTCAACATTTATTAAAAAGATAACAGAATAGAAATACTTTTTGTCAAAAGTTTGTAAAGAAGTTTTATTTGTGTATTTAAATGTAAATAAGGAAAAAATAGAAATAAAAATATNTAATTGTTAGAGAAAGAAGAAGAAAATGTTTTGAAATTTATTTCAGCAAAGATAGTTGATTTTGTTTTGGTCTAAAGAATAATATATGAAAAAAAAAATTATCAAAAAAATTCTTAACTCTGATAACAAAAATTATTAATTATAAAATCACTTTAAGATATGGAGCTAAATAATAAGTATGATAATAAGAAAGCAGTCCGGTTTAAAACCAGGAAAAATGAATTATAAGATGTATTAAATCAAAATTTGAAATTAGTTTTGATATGGCTATGAATTTAATAGATAAAGTAGTGTGTTTTAGAAAACTTCCTTAAATACTTTTTGGATTTAAATTACTCATCAAGATTATCTTCCAAAAATCAATAAGAATTTAACATTAAAACAGAACTTGCTTAAATATTAACTGAGGAAAGATTTGCTCAATTTCTGATTAGTTTTTCATCTCATTATTATAATGAAACTGTATCAAACTGTTTATTGTATTTGTTTTAAGTATTGCAATCCTATTAAAACACATTAAATAAAATAAATTTAAAATATTTACTTTTAGTATTCAACCCAATCATCTCAATTTGATTTTTGATCCAAAATCCAGAATCATTAACATAGTTTGAACGATTTTCTGACATCTATAATATTTAGTATTAATATCATGCTTTTTTTTTGTAACTGGTTAATTTTATATTGATTATTTTTTATTAATTTCCATAATCTTTTTCTCTAACTTTGGATTTTGTTTATTTAACAAGCCAATATTTTGCCTATGCTTAATTATTTTGAATCTTATATACTCATTTCCTACATTTTAATTGATTACAAAATATTGGCTTTTCAAATTATTAAATCAACAAATTACATTCTTTCCTCATTCATTATATCTATTTTTGAATTAATCAAATTTAGGATCTAATTTTACTTATAACATAGAATTATTTTTATTCATATGACTTTTTATCAGTAATGCATTTAAATTTACTCAAGTGTCATTTAATGAGAGTTTTTTCAAATGTTAATTTTCTGCAATTAATTAAAATTTCAATAGTGACCTTGATTTCTATTTGATAAAGCTAAAATAATGTTTTGATCAAAATATTAGGTTTCATTATTTCTACTCTCATTCTTAATTCATTTGTATAAGAATGATAAAATTATCTCCTTTCAACATTTATTAAAAAGATAACAGAATAGAAATACTTTTTGTCAAAAGTTTGTAAAGAAGTTTTATTTGTGTATTTAAATGTAAATAAGGAAAAAATAGAAATAAAAATATACAGATAATAATTAAGAAATTAAAACAAAGAAAAATAATTAGAAACTAGTATAAAACTTAATTAATTTATAAAATCATCTAAATTCTGAAAAATTGATATTAGAAGTTTAATAGATGAATGAACTCAATAGCCTTAAAAATTGATGTAGTTTAATTGTCCAAACCAAAGAGACTCAAAATGAGGTTCGGAAAAGAAAAAATAAATAATTTATGTTATATTTGGTTAATGATACAAGATGGAGAGATTTCAGAATTATGCAAAGATGTACGGAAAGATGGGATAATTTAAAATTTTGTTAATTTGAAACAAACACCTTTTCTTTAAGTTGTTGCATAATACAGGAATATAAATGTAGATGTGATTTTTGGACCAAAAAATAAAATAACTCAGATATAATTGTGATTTTGCTATTTAAAAGATAAATAAAGTCTTAGGTATTTAGAATTTATGTTTTTGAATGTTTAATGTTAAAATTTTAGAATTAACTCTTTATCAAAATCTGCTTGATTCTAAATTATTGGGTTTTCACATAATTAATAATTTAAGAGTATAATTAAAAAGGTATTTTGAAGTAGGAATGATTTAATTAATTTGGTAGTATTCTGAAGTTTGTGATTTTAAAGAACAGGATTAATATAAATTTATAAATTAAAAGGAGAGAATTAAACCAAGCAATTAAACATAAAATTAAATTTTATTTATTGATCCTAATTTTACAATTGATAATTGATTAAGTTGACAT